GTTAATTTGTCTCTTTTCTTTCTTTTTTTTTATTGTTTTCTTTTCTCTTTTTCAGTACTGAAGATTAAGCCCAAGAAGCCTGAGCTAATCCTCAGCCCTTTTTTAATTTTTATTTTGAGACAAAAATCTTTGCTAAATTGCCCACACTAGCCTTAAACTTGCCATCTTCTGGCCTCAACCTTCTGAGTAGATAGGATTGCAGGCATGTGCCTCAATACTTGGCTTCTGCTATTTCTCCAAAAACTTTCTACTCCTTTAAAATCCTTAAGTCTTTCTTAAACCCCAATAACCCCAAAATTTGCTTGTTTAATTCTATCGCAAAGTTCCTGTAAGATTTGTTTCTCTTCATTCTTTTAGTTCTTTCTGGGCTGGCTTGCCCCACCCTCAGGCTGGCACAGCATGTGGTGCCAGCGATCCAACTGCAGTCCCCTGGGCCTGGGTAAGCTTGCCTAAGCAGGCGCTTTAGACCACTGAGCTGTCTTGCCAGCCACTCTTCATTCTTTTTTTTATTCTTCTCCTCTTACTTTGCTCCTTGCACAGACAAAATATGCAACACCCAAAGTTAAAGGGGGTAAATGTTTACTTAGTTCACATTTTGTGAATATTTCAATCCATAGTTTGCTGGCTTCAAGGCAAGATGCCATATGGCAGAGGAGCTTCACAGAGGAGAGCAGTTCATGGTACCTACAATGGAGCAAAAGCAACAAAGGAGGGCACATCAGTTTTTTTTTGTTTTGTTTTGTTTTTTTGGTCTTTTTTGAGACAGAGTCTTGTTATGTAGTTCAGGCTTTCCTTGAGCTCACTTTGTAGTCTAGACTGATCTCACATTTGTGATGATCCTCCTGCCTCAGCTTCCTAAGTGCTGGGGTTACAGGTGTGTAACACTATGTCCGGCCGTATCAGCTTTCTTTTGAATAGAATTTGCAGTACTCTGCTTTCTTTGTTAATTGAATTCATCATTCCAACTCTTGCTCTTCTAAGGAAATGTCTTTTCTGTATGAGTAGCATTTACTTTATTTTCCTGAGTTGCTAATGAGCTATTGAAAATGATGTTTTTATGATTCATTAAGAAGTTTTAGTTAAGATTTCTATTTGAAGAGAACCTTAATAGGTCCACCTTGGCTTCAGTCAAATACTTCAGCAGGGATGGTAGCAAAGAAATCCATTTTGTCAGGTGTGGGGGGCGATAGAACACTCCTGTTATGTTTTCCCTTATTTGGGCAAGAAGTGCTGCAGCACCAATCCCCACTTGCCTCGACATCTTCCTGTGGTCCTGGACCTTCACTACCAATCCACAACTAGTCCCACCCAACTACTTCTACTATACGGCTATTTAGACCCTGTTCACTTCCTCAATAAATGAGACTTGATCAGAAAAAAAAAAAAAAAAAAAAGAAGTTTTAGTTATTTCCAAGGGAACAGTAAATCATAGTATTTATTGTCTATCTAACATATAATTCAACACAAAATGTAAAACAAAAATCAACTTCTTAATTAATGGAAAAAAAAGACATTTATTTTTGGCTTAAATTGTTTAGGGCTCTGAGTAGTCCATAAAGCATATTAATGTTTTATTTAATGCAATTGTATTTTCTCTTTTTATTGCTATGGAGAGTAAAATCTGAGTGGTAAATATTGAAATTGCTATGCTACAGTAATAAAGTAAGGTGGCTTAAGATGATATAGAAAATTACTAAAAAGGCTGAAGGGTCTTAAGAATAGGTCTTTCTCTTTTTTTTAAAAAAAATCTTTTTTAGTTGCTAAATTCAGAGGATATTTACATGTATTTCATGGGTCAGTATTTATAGAGCTCTGAGCCAGTTGATTGGATATGAAGTCTGTAAGTTATATAAGAAATGAAGTCTGTAGGTTGTATGTGAAGTCTGAAGGCCAGTTGCTTGGATATGAAGTATGGCTTTTTGATGTCATCTGGATTGACATTCTCTGCCACAGAATGTTGTGCTTATTTTCAATGAAGAGTTTGTTTTCAGTTGCCTTGTTTGTTTTTGGTCTTTTTGATTTTACTGTATTTTTTTGGTTGAATTGTTTTTTAAAA